ACTACTACCACAAAATAATTGAAAGGGGAAGCTGCCAACGTTTTTCAATCGTGCTTAAAGCTAAAATGTACCTTTGGTGCTTTCACATATGTGTTGCCTAATAAAAGATGTGTGGCGCAATCTTCATAGTATAGAAGCTATTAATTTAGTATGTTTTAATTCACATCACACATTCTGGTTTGTCGACCTGCAATAAATCTGAAATTAATACAATTTGCAGATAAGATTTAAGTAAGCATCAGATGTTCCAGATCTGGTTTACATTAATAACATTTGATACATTACTTTTATCATCAGTGGAGTCCTGTAGCTCAGTGATTAGAGCACTCGCTTTGCAAGTGAGAGACCCGAGTTCAATTCCAGGCAGAGGGCGAAACCTTGGGCAGGTTTCCTTACTCCACACAGAGCCTAATAATAATCCCTCCAAAACCAAAAACAATAATAAATTGGTCATTTTCAATCTACGACTGTTTCTGGGACATTGCTGTGCCCAATTGGCTGCCGCGTTCGCCCACAAATATACAGTCAATTCACTTTACAGTGTGTTCTGTGAAGCGCTTTGGGACGTCCTCGCAACGTGAAAAGCGCTATATCAAATGCAAGGATTATTATTATTATTATTATCAGGAGACGGTCTCAAAGCATTTCACTTTAATGAGTGAAAATAACACTGTAAACGCGTTTTGCAAAGTGGATGTAACTACCACTTTTGTACAGCGCAGTGTATTTTGTAGATGGACGTGACAGACAATTTTGTTAACAGCAATGTCCCACAAACAGCCACAAAGTTAGTAGCCAATCTTATGTTAGGGAATTGTTAGCTGGGAAACGAGGAGAAACTCCCTTCTCTTCAACAGTGCCACAGGATCTTTAATGTAGTTCAGAACAAGCAGACAGCAGCTCAGTTTAACATCTCATCAGGATGACACCTCCAACATTGAAACACATCCCCATCAGCCTAGACAATGCAAATTGACACGGGAACTTGAACCTCAGACTCAGAGGCGAGTGCTACCAACTGAGCCAGGCTCATAACTTGGTTTGATGGTGATGACAATTTAAACATCCAGCTAGTCGGGTAGAAAACTATGTTACAAAATTAATATAAATTACACTGCTGAACTGCTTAAAAATTAGCAGCTGCATAGTACAGTTAAAAGGCACAAGCTTGAATGAAAGGATTGGTTGGTAAATAAAATTTGTTGTGACATTTTGCTTGTTGTCATTAGCTTTGGAGCTTATAGCTCGATATAGAAATTCTCATTTCACTTGAGAAATAATTCTACTTATTACAAAGCTTCAGAATAACAGCCATACAACACTTAATAGTTTTTCCCCGAATATTCAATGTATGGGGGTGTGTGGGCGGTGGTGTCAGAGTATTCAGGAATGAAATAGCTTCAGCCTCTTGCCCCAATGGATGGTAGCGACAAGAGTTAAAATATTGAGTATAATATTACAGAGCACAAGATTAAAAATAACCTTTCATTGTTTTAGAAAAGCCAAACTGACAATGTGCTTTACAAAAATAATTCCAATACATTAAAAATGCATTCTAGTTGGCCCAAGTTGAAACAGATAAATTTATATACTGTAATGATTGAGCCAATTACTTTCAAAGGAGCAGATTCTAGATTCAGACAAAAACTCAATCTTTCATCAATCTTTGTTCTACAGCAACTTGCATTTATATAGCGCCCTTCATGCACAATAGTGTCTCAGAGTGCACTATAATGACTGGCCTGAAATAAACAAGAGAAATTACAATCGAGCACACATGAGATCAACTTTGATTAACACAGCTTAACTTCTCCCTTAAAATTATTTTTAAGCCAATGTTAAGAACTATCTTTGGAGATTTGGTTGCCATAAAAGTGAGATTCGTCAGTACATATTCAATTTCATGATTAGAGGAATCTCCACCCAATAGTTTCAGAATCTTATTCTAACCATGACTGCTTTTCCATGGGTTATAATCATATTGACCAATTTACAATACTTAAATTCTACTTCAGCATTTTAAAGTGGTTGGTGCGCAAAATGTAACTTTTTTTGATCTGCGGTTTTAGTTTGGCAAAGCAGCAGAATTGGAACCAGTCTTACTCTATTAGCATCGTTCCCCTAGGGTATTCAGGACCTATTTTTAAAAATATTTAAACAAAGTTCACGAAATCCTGAACAGTTATATTGCAGTGATAAGTTATTATACTTTTTAAAACCCTAAAACAGTTAGCGGTCTAAGTCCAATGCCGCATACTAGGCTGACTCAGCACCAGCTGCTTAATCCATGTCAGTTTGGCTCAGTGGCATCACTCTCACCCGAGTTAGAAGATTGTGGGTTCAAGCCACACGTCAGGATTTGAACTCACATAGTCTAAGCTAACACTCCAATGTAATACCGGGGGATGTTGCATTGTTGGCAATGCCATCTTCCAGATGAGTCGTTAAAACTAAGGTTGCGACTACCTGTTCAGGTGGATGTTAAAAATACCATGGAGCTATTCGAAAAGAGAAGGTTTTCTCCCAGTGTCCTTGCCAATAATTCCCACAAATAAAATTGATCATCTGTTTGATGGCTGTTGGTAGGACATTGCTGTGTGCAACTGTGCTGCTGTTTTTGCCTACAAATACACAGTCATTGCATTTCATATGAAATTCTGTGAAGCGTTTTGAGACTTCCTTTTTCTCATCCACACGTTCCCCATCGTCGACGTCATCCGCAGACATAGGGTTAACTTCCACATGTATGCGGATGACACCCAAAATATACTTCTCCTCCAGCTGCGACTCCCAGTCCACTGATATCCTGTCAGCTTGTTTGACAGACATCAAAGCCTGAATGAGCACAATTTTTCTGCAGCTGAATGTCGGCAAGAGGGTATGAACTCCTCAAACTCCCCCAAGCTCTCCCTCAGACTCTCCGAACCTGTGCGCAACTTACGCATCAGGTTCGATCCCCAGCTTTCCTTTCTACCACACATCTGTTGCTGACCAGGACTGGTCCACTTCCGTCACATCACCCGCCTCCCTCCGTACCTCACAACTGACACAGCTGAATCCCTCGTCTAGGCCTTCATCACTTCCTGGCTGGACTATTCCAATGCCCCCCTCGCTGGTTTCCCCAGCTCCACCTTACACAAAATCCAATGAATCCAAAACTCACCCACAAGAAACTCTATACTCCCATCACACCAGTCCTTGCTGAGCTCCACTGGCTCACAATTACCGAACGGATTGATTTCAATATCCTTATTTGCTTTCAAATCACTTCATTCCCTCACACTCCCTACCTCTCCAACCTGTTTACACCCCACTTCACCATTCGCTGCCTCCACTTGGTTGGCTATGGCCTCCTAATTCTCCCTCGTGCCCTCCGCTCCCCCATCGATGGCTGTGCCTTCAGCCACTAAGCCCAGAAACTCTGGAACTTTCTTCCTCAACCCCTCCACCTTGCCCCCTACCTCCCTCCCCACCTTCAAATACCGCCTAAAGACCTTCCTTTTGGATCGTGCTTAATCACCATCCCCCTCCCTCTCCCCTTGGCTCGTTGTCAGACTCCGCCACTGTTAAAGGCTACGGGATTCTGCCGAGTGAAGTGCGCTATATAAATGCAAGTTGCTGTTGTCCGGTCTGCTCCACATCCCCCGCCCTACCACTGGTGGCCGGGCCTTCAGCCTCTCGGCTCTGGAACTCCATCCCCCAGTGCCTTCGCCTTGCTTTCTCCCTTTCCTCCTTCAAGGCCGGTCTCAAGACCTTTCTCTTTAGCCGTGCCTTCAGCTCTTTTCTCGACTCTCTACCCCCTCCTCGCTCCCTCCCTTCCCTCCCCTCACCCTGACCATTTCCCCTTGCTGGGGTCCCGACCCAACTGTCCAGCGCCTTGGGACGTCCTCCCGACGTGAAAGGCGCTCTATAAATGCAATCTTGTTGTTGTTGTTGTCACTCCAACGCGATAAGGCAATATACCAAATGCAAGAATTATTATTATAATCCAACCCCTTTGGGTGAGGGCCAAAGCCAAATAGACCTTCCCACTGTGATGCCGACTTTACCGCCCGGGGTGCTCAGCGACAGGTCAGTGTAGGCCAGAGCTCCTCCCTCCCATTTCCCGTAAATCCATATCGTTGCTTGATCCTGGATTTTGCAAATGGGTCAGAGGAAGGCCTTCTGCTGCAGCTCCAGGAGCTCAGACCCATAAACCAGAACTGTTTGCACACAGGTCTTATATGCTGTTGTGCTGTTAGCTTGGCTTGTATTGGGACCTTGCTGTCCTTGAAGAGAGATGAGCATGGCCAGAATGTCCTTTGCCTCTTCCCTGTGCTGTCCTTCAGGACTGTGTCTAAGCAGCAGTTGGTGTCCACCACAAGCCCTGGGTACCAATATCATTCAATACCCTTGATGTCTTCTCTTGAACCATGTAGAACTATTCATGTCCCACTAGATGGCCCAGTTTTCAGTATAACAGGTACTGCCACAAGGACCCCAGGTGTGTCCGCCAGCACAATATCAAACAGATGGAGCGCATTCCTGTCAAAAAGCCCTGGAACATATACTCCAATTCTATCCCCTTTGATGACATCCAACACAAAGAGTTGTGTAGTTTGAACTGCACTCAAGGAAACTATGGCAAATAGTGTGGCTTTCCTCATTATTTGGAAACTTCAACCTAATAGGCTTGAGGTAATACCTCCACTCAGTAATTGACAGTTTTAAAATACGCAACACAAAAAAAACAGGCCGACCACAAAGTCAGAAGGAGAAACAAAGCCTAGGATGAAGCTTTGTACATGAGGCTGAACTGGTTTCAAAGAATAAGCAAGAAATATTAAAACATCAGAAATGTAATCTTTATGCTCACTTTGAAATAATTTTCAATTTTCTTAAGATTGTGGTCTAAATCCTCAATTTATTTAAATCTGCAAAACCAGCTAAACTCCATTTCAGGAGCATTGTGACATTTGTCAAATTAGAAATATGAATAGATAACCCCAAGAGACACTTACAGCTTGGTTGGGCAAGTTGTCAGTCTTCAATTCTCTGTGGTTAGAATACTGAATGTAAATGGGCTGATTGCGGAGGTGTGGAGTGACAGTGGTGTAATAGTTCACCATAGTAACAGCAGCTTCTTCTGAAGCCATTTCAACGAAAGCCTGTAACAAGAGAAAACAAAATTCAATAAAGACAACGAAAAGCTCTCTAAACACATACATTTTGTATTTCACTGCTTATTCATGGAAGCGACTCCGTATACAATTGCTGGCGGTTTAAAATTAAATCCTAATTACAACTCAAGTATTTATGAGGTTCAAAATGTGAAGATGTTATTTTTAGCATTATTGTCAAGAATATAATGTTCTCGCTTGTCAAATGAACTACTCCACCAAACAATATCCGTTTAAATATAGGAGATCATCTCATTGGAATGGTTGAGATTAAAATTAAGAAACTAGAAGAGCAGTTGATTCAGAGCAAGGAGCTGCAACATTTACATTTCTTTGCGTCAGACCACTTCCCACACAGGACACAGAGCTTTATTTTAAAGAAATATGCAGCCATCATTTAGCAAAATATATTAAAGCCCCAAATGTTCCATTCCATTTTATGGATAATTAAACTGATACAGTAGGATTAAAACAATATTTAGAGGGGACATAATTCCAAATCCTATTTAGACTAGTTAACATAAAGAATTCCCTGCCAGAAACAAGTGATTGAGGTAGAATCTACATTAGCTTTCAGGAGGGAACTAAATAATTATAATAAGGAGCAAACTACAGCGGTATAAGGAAAGAGGACATAAATAGGATTGCTCTTAAAAGAGCCAGAACAGATATGGTGTGTCTATGGTTCTAATTAACAAGAGCACACATCAAACGGAGCGGATCAGACCAGAATTATTTAAACAAACACCCCAAATTTAATGGAACCAATAACCTCAAAAGTATGCACTTATTTAGGTTTTAATGCCAGAATGAATCATAGCATTCAGCCTGTTTCTGCCACCACCCACCTCATATGAACACACCTTTTGGTTTATTAGTGCATGATAACCAACATAAGAACCTGGTAAGTGACTCTCCCAGAAATCTGGTTATGTTGCTGGATTACCAACAGCAGGGGAAGGCAAAAAAAGAGAGATGTGGTGATCATGAAGGTGAGTCTTGTTACAGTGCCCTGGCTCTTTACTCCAGTTCTATAGCTTAGTGATTAGAGCACGCTCTTTGCAAGCAAGAGCACCTGGGTTCGATTTCTAGGCAGGACCAAATGTTGGGCAAGTTTCCTTACTCCACACACCTGCTTACCTAGCAGTAAGCAGGAACCTGGTTGTTAGTTAATTGGCTTTTCCTGGGATAATAATCCCTTCAAAAAAATAATAATTTGGTCACTCAATCCACGACTGTGTATGGGACACTGCTGTGCGCAATTGGCTAGCGCGTTTCACCCACAAAATACAGTCAATTCACTTTACTGTTTTTTCTGTGAAATGCTTTGAGACGTCTAGAAGATGTGATAAGGCGCAACATCAAATGTAAGGATTATTATATAATTGTTATAGTGGAGTCACGGAGTACCATGTTGACTGGTCGGCCTTCTGTGCTTTAAAAAAAAGGGTGATTTCCAGGATATCAGGTGACTTTCGGGGCTGGACATATGCATAGGAAGCCACATTTAAGTTGCTTCCTGATGCTAAGGGGCTGAATTGCCCTGTGCTTGCTGGAGTCTATTTACCCTCGTGAACTGGTCTATGGCACAAGACAAAACATAGCTGCACGGCTGACTTTAGCAACCCTGTATCTAGGAATTCCTAGCCAAGCAATGATTTTATATGATCTTGTAGTGGATTGCTATAATGTGGATTATTACCGTGCCATGACTTTATTTTCAATTTTAGTCAACAGGGTAGACTTTTGACACAAGCTAAAGGCACTTGAAGTAGGCTGGAACACAAGATAACCACAACATCTTCCAAACCTAGTTGTCTTAATTATTCTTTGCCTGATTCAATTAGTTTCACAACTACTCTGGAACTGAATTAATTACTTTAGCATAAAAAATGGCAGTTTATTCCTACCCGAACGTACGCTTTTACCTCTGACGTGACAAGCTTTGTAGTTATATTACTCAAGACTGACAGACTCAAAATTTAAAAAATATAAAATTTATCGGCAGAATATTGCAAGTTAAATTCTAGTTTGAGCAAGTGAGAAATTTGGAGAAAATATTTTCCATTTGATTAAATAGATATTTAGTACTTTATTTTGTTAAAACACTGTACTATAAACATGCAGGCTTGGTTCACATATTATAATCACATGAACAGTTAGAAAAACTTCACCAAAACAACCTGCATACCTGATTTTTCCCTTTTAACATCAACAGGTTAGTGACTTTGCCGAAAGGTAAACCTAGTGAGAGGACCTCAGTTTCTGAGACTTCATTTGGAATCTTGCGAATATGAAGAACACGAGAGGGAGAGCTTGGAGACCAGTCTCCTTTAAACTTTTTGGTATCGTTTCCATTAGCTTAAGAATAAAAAAAAAGAAAGAAAATTAACATTACTTAGTTACAATGCATTTACACAGAGCTTTTACACTGGTGGGTTTTTGGACAAAGTAAGGAACACACAAACATGTACCTGTATTATGTTTCCAGTCAACTATTCTTACAACAATTGCATAGCACCCTGTAAACAGTTTTGAATTTTGAATTACCCAGCTCCATGAATTGCATTGGAACACAACAAAAACACTGTGTATGTATTATATATATATACACAAAAATACATTATATATATGTTTATATGTATAACAAATACATTTTCTCTCTAATTGTTTTCACATTGCCAGGATACTTTCAGTTACACAACTCAATTTTCCTTCTAACTTTGCCAATAAATATCAATTTTATTCACATTTTGGGAATAATAATTTGTGAGTGTATATGTTTGATGGAATAGAGGTAATCAGCAGATTCAATGTATCTTCCCAAAAGAAAGTTGCATTAAAGAAAATGTTGAGTGCATGCTAGGCAACTGTCCCGAATGTAGTAAATGCAAAGATTATTATAATGTGACCATTAGACATTGATGGATCAACAGAATAAACTAAGCTAAGAAAAAAAACAATTGTGCATCCCCATAGTTTATTAAGACAGAATAAAGAACTGAAAATTCAATACTTTGCCAGATAATTTGCAACATTGGTTCTTTTTCTCCTTTGTCACAAAAAGATAACAATCCCTCAAGAAAAAAAACAATAAATTGGTCGCTTCAATCCACGATTGTTCGTGGGACACTGCTGTGCGCAACTGGCTGCCGTATTTTGCTCACAAATATACAGTCAAATCACTTTACAGTCTATTCAGTGAAGCGCTTTGATACGTCTAGAAAAGAGCTATATAAAATGCAAGGATTATTATTAAAAGATCCATTGAATGACACCTGGCCATGTGTGCATATCACAGTTCAGATGTTTCCGCTTTTGGTTGCCACAGAGCGACAGTCCCACCTTCCCTCACCCTCCTTGCACTCTAACTGGTGGCCTGATTCAGCCCAGGCCGGTGCTTCCCAGTTTGAGAACCTCTGATTTAGATCACAATTTTAGTCAATACAAATTTTGTCAAAGTAGAAAAACAAATGCTAATGTTACTGTAATCTTTGGCATGTTCTGTTCTGTTCTGGATTATGCCCGGAATGGCTGTATCAAAACCCAAATAACAATTAAAAGCTGAACAAGACTGTTTGGGAGAATAATGACCAGAAATATGAGCAATGGCGTCTCCTCCAGAGAGGGAAATATCTTAGCTCAACAAAGTAGCTCCACAGCAGCCAAATTGAAAACTGTAAATCATGTGAGCATTTGGGAGTAAAAACACACATCTTAAATCTTATAACAATGACCTTTAGTACACCAACATACTGAGTCAGTGGACCAACAATTGAAGCATTTTCAAGTCTGTGATATGCCAACTTATCGAACATTGTACAGTGTGATCACTGTATTATTTTATGAAAGAAATGCAAGCGAGTCACACAATACAATATCACACTCAGAGGCCTGGGAGCCTATCATTTCATATGGATGGAAATACCCCCAAAAAATCTTAAATTGATGCAATAATCACTTCTTAAGACACTCATAAAACAGATGCATGGACAACTCAGTCTACCTGACATCTAAAGAAATCGCGTATCTATTGGGAGCATATATAAAATTGTCAGCATCTACTGAAACAGTTTAAATTATTGGGCAATGCTAATGGCACTTTCTTAAAGAGTAAGTAGCCAGTATCTGATGAGAGGACACTGAGTAAAATAAAATGAAGGCCATTAAAGATGACAAATAGCAAATACGTAGAGGGTAATAAACCCCCTCCTCACTCAACCAACTTTGAGCATAACAGCGATTTAAGAAACTCTCCTTGCCTCCCTGAGAACATGATTCACGGTTTAAAATGTATTCAAATTACTTAAGATCTAACCAATCTGCCAAAATAGCAGAAGTGAAGGATTGTCTAATAAATCTTGTGCATGATTAGCAATACTGCATTGGGCCTTCATGGCAGCCCAAGCAGGAAAGCAGAAACTGCACTATGCTCAAAAAAGATTTGCCCCATAAAATAATGTATTTGACTACATAGAACTGTTAGCTTGTGGCTGGCAATCATTACCCAGAGTCCAACTGTTACAAAGTCTGAACCATTTAAGACTTACTAATTAAAGTCTATGTATAAGCAGCAGTGTAGGCTTTCTTGTGATAACTCCATTCTCGCCCTTTTCTCCAAAATAGGATCTTTTAACAAAGCACCAAGGAGTAGCTCTTTACAAACTGATATCGGGTGACTCAGTCACACATCCCTTTGCTGGAGAACAAATTTGCTTTAAGAATCTGTGGATTGGAAGAGTAGGAAACCAGCCAGGCTGGAGGTGGAATCGGTAGGCATTTGTTTTTTTGGAACCCATTACACCTCGGTGTCTAATTTTTTTTTACATCCAAAGCACTGTGATTCGGGGGGGGGGGGGGAGAGAGGCGGTAAAATTGCCTTGCTCAGTGGATATGGAGTGTATGTGATCTCACGGATAAAATCAAAATAGCCCTGCGAGAAGCCAGGCACCATGTTCCCCTCTGGTCCTAGCCATTGCAATTTGTTTGAACATTTTTTTTTGCAGTTTACCAAGGCAGCCAATTGCACACAGCAGCATCCCAGAAACAGTTGCAGATTGAGTGACCAATTTTTTTTTTTGGAAGAGATTATTACCCCCAGAGAGTGAATCGCCAGACCAATTTTGCAAACCCTTGCTTAATAAATAATCTTTGTTCCCAATTACCACCAGTATGCAACAAAGCAAATATTAAGATATTTAAAATGTCTTCTGGTGATGTTTTTAAAAAATCAGTTCATGTATAAACATCTTATAGGGCCCACACAACAATCATTTGCTGATCTACAAATGTTTCAGCAATGCCCCCAAATATAAGAACATTTTTGAAATCTCTGAAATCTTGATAATTATGTTCAACTCCAATTATTATTAAAATTACATTATTGTATGGGGTTTAAAATTCTCATTTCTTGTTATTTGAACAAGCAAATTACAGGAAAGTGAATAAACGTATTGCAGTTTGATCAGGGCAATAAATAATATAAAAAGAAATAAATAAGTAAATAAGTTACTGTTTAAAAATACAGGTGTAAAATACACTTGCAAAGAAAGGCACTCTCCTATACCTCAATGGAGACATTTTTTTTTACAGATTGGCACCCCGCGGAGATCTGCTATTTCACGTTTTCGGGCTAAATAAGAAACAACTCTGCTGACAATTTACTCCACGAGAAAATGAACTTGGTATCCAGGTTCATTGTTCCTTCATATGTTGCTCACTGTTGGATCCCATAATTGCAGTCGTGTGGGTAATTCCAATACACTATGAACTGGTAGATGGATGCAAATACTCCTTTATCTAAAGGAGTATTTGCAGATATTGCAGGTGTGTAGAAGCATGACATTTCACTTTTCACATAACAGGTGAGGCAATTTATGATTTTTACATATATATTTATTTATACATTATATATATACATATTTATTTATTATATATATAAATGAATAATTGATGACCAAACTGTTAGATAAATTCACTATTCTGAAAACATAGCTCAGCAGTTCTGATATCAATAATGCTAGATAGATATTTATTTGAAGAAAAAAGATTTGGCATTTTGGCAGCCATCTTGCACATGGCAAACTCCCATATTTAGCAAAAAGAGTCACGATCAGTTATTGCGAGTATTTTTAGCCAAGACACTGGGAGAATATTTCCATTCTAGTGTAATGGGATCTTTTACATCCACCGGAACAGAGATATTTGAAGAGCTCAGAGTTTTAATGCCAACATTAACCATCGTTCATATTCAACTATCAGGTTTCAAAAGGTCTCAGCTACAATCCAAGTTAGACGTTTTAACAACATTTTTCAGAAATAATTCACCATAAAGAATTACTCTGCGATGCAAAGTGTGTTTTCTGTCAAGTGAAGCAAAATAGCACTGACTGCTACTGTGAAATCTGCAGTTTGCATTCAGTATAGAATCATAAAGGTTGAAAAAGAAAATATTTGATTATTGAATGTCATACTAAAGAATTGGGTGTCACAATAAGCTGCCTTTTCATCTCTGAGATTCAGGGTTTGAATTTAGATGGGACAGATAAACCGAAAAAAAATTGCAGTCTATTTGGGTAACTGCTTGCTAGGAAATCATCTCATTTAATATTTACTGCTGAATTAAGAAATCTTTTCTCCAATGAGTACAAGAAATTAGAGTAAATTAGCATTCGACAGGCTCAATCCAGAGCAAGAATCGAACAGCATTAATCTGCCTATTTAACACAAACTGACTTTAAATATGCTGGCTCACATCCAGAAAATTGCACGAATGGTTGATGTGGGAAATTAAACTGTCACTATGGTAACTTTGGATACTAATTGCCTACAAATACATAGTCACTACACTTTACAGTAAATCCTGTGAAGCACTTGTTATTTTGATGCAATATAGAGGGCGATTTTATAAATCTACATAGACTTCTAACTTTCAGTTCATAACAATATTAATTTAGAGCCAGCACTGCTTTATAACAGATGGAATGTGCGGTGTAACATTACATCTGTTCATTTATCACAGCTAGCCTGCATTCTTTCCATCTGGGGAATCACACAGTTATGGCTGACTTGACATACCTGTAGCTGAAGTAGAATTGCTCATGGTAGAAGGGCCGTTAATGAAACCAGCAGAAAAAAGCTCGTCAGATCCCCGCTGAAAAACAAAAGACAGTCATAAATACCTGGCTACCTGCCAGCATGCAAATCTGAACTTATGCAATATTCAGGGCTGCATTAAAAGGTGCAATTGCTCCCTCAGCCCCCAAAAATATATACATCAATAGAGGTCAAGGCATGAAGTGCCCAGCGCTCTGCAGTTTGTTGGGACAATTGGTAATTACAAAAGTGAATGGAAAAATCCAAAACATCATTTTTAATAGACAATGGCATTTCTTCACTGGACTAAATTCTGTATTAGCACACAAATGTTCCCCCATTAAAGAGCTTCTGTAAAACATTCTTTAATAATATGCAAACCTGACAAAGTGCACTCTATTTCCCTGCAATGTTAATACCAGTTCCATCTTTCTTGGCAATTGCAGTCATAAAACCTAAAATGGATTCAGAAGTATCAAACTAGTTTACAATTGATAGGCCTTTGTTTTAAAAGTGATACATTCAGCTTACAGAACATAGCTGGAGTGATTAGAGACATATTTACCATATTCACTTTTGATAAATCTAGTGTAGGAAGCTAAGTACAAGCCCAAACTAATATTTTCATCCCTAGGGTCTCCCAGCTCTGCAAAGCAATCCCAGTAAAAAGCAAAAACTGAGACACTACCCTATGTGACGGGATGCTCTATAAATGCAAGTTGTTGTAAGCTACTGCAGAACATCAAAGTGATCTGAGGCAATAGAGTGACTCCATTAAACATAATGATTTGGATCTATAAACTATCCCCGTACTATAAGGAAGCAGGGCAACAAATGCCTCATGGATAGTGGTTCTGGAAACATCATGTGATCACTGAAATTGCTCCCTATGCTCACGCACAGCAATGAAGCGTCAGCAGTGCCAGAGATAAACAATGCTTCCATCATGAGTCCACAATTCACCTATATTTTTAGTGGCTGGTGATGTACCTCACCCAGAAAAGAAGCAAAACTGTAGTGGTACATGAAAGTAGTTAGGATGAATCTATTCAGGAATTCCCCACCCTCTTGCAAGACTCATTGACTGGGAACTCAATTTTTAAGAAAAACCCAGGGTATAAATCCCTGTTCCTCTGTGAAACAACACACACTCCAGAGCAGGATGGCTGCATACACAACTGATTTCAAATTCAAGTTACTGTAGAATTGCAGAACAAATAATAAAACAAATCACCATACTTTAGACTGCAGTTTCCCTGGGGTTCTTTTATGGGGCAATTATTTTCCTGTACACGAGTGCCATCAGCCCTCATTTGAAAATCAAACCATTGAAAGAACTGATCAACATTCTTTAGTCACATCCTATGGATTTTTTGGAACAGTTTACTCAAATGACCAACTCCATGATGGGGGGGAAAGAACTGGCTTACACCATCAGGTAAATAACTTCTCTGTATTGATGCAAATTCAAATCTCTCAACCTCAGTAACTCCTCCTGGCCAGTTATCATATGATGCCCTCAATAATGTGTTACTTAATGAAATCAGAAATTTTTCATCATTTATATTTTTCATCAATGCAAATACTGTTAGTTTTTAAACACACAAGATAATATGCAATGATGACCCTTACAAATCTGAAACATTCCAGGTTTGATCCCTGAATTCTGCTGAGTTAACTAACGGACCCCAAACAGAATGGAACATAGTAATTGACCTCAGCTTTGTTGAGCTGAGGTCAATTACTAGATCAGTTATTCACATGTCCATTTATCCACACAGACCTCAGAAAACATTGGACATGGGGCTTGTAAGTTACCACCAAAAATACAATTTGCGTGTGCAAAGTTATACACAAGGTTCCTAGGCATGCGCTGATCAGCTACAGATTACAAACAACCTTGCCGAAGTGCATACATGTGCAAACCAACAGTGTTTTTTTCCCCACGGTTACCTTATGTTTAGAGTTGGTGATGGTCAGTGTGAGAATGGATGGCACGGTGTGGTGTCCTTAGTGTCAGTATAATTCTTAATTTAGTACAGATAATCTGCACTCTATTATAGTCACAAATGGATGTTATGAAGACAGGTCAGGCTCAGACAAATGTTCCATAGTAGTGAAATATCTACTAGTGCTTGGTGAGTATTTAATTCACTTGGTGAGGCACTGGATGACAGCCAGTATCTATGAAAGCCCTCTCGTTTGAATCAGTGTAATCATAAGGCAAGTATGAGGGAGTAAACAAAGAAAAGGGTTAGAGAAATTTAACTTGCTATGACTACCATGTTTGCTAAGCTGTATAATGTAAACAAATAAAGCAATAATCAAAAAAAGACAGCCATGTGGTAAATGACAAATTCAACTGCAGAATAGCAATCCATGAGAAATTTTCTTCCATTTTCAAATAGCGTTATGGGAAATTCAAAGTACACCCGATGACCGGCATATGGGACCTTAGTTTAAAGTCTCATCCAAAGGACCCGTCAGACAATGCACCACTATCCAAGCACTGCACTTGGATAGTGGGGCATTGTCTGAAGGTCCTTTGGATGAGATTCAGCCTGGAGCTCAAGTTCTGATGTACAGATTGAACCTACAATCTTCCGACCCATGGGTGAATGTTACTAACTGAGACAGGCTGGCAGTTGCTTTTGTACTATAGCTAAAAGCATTACTGAGGCGCTCATTTCTCCAGATGGCCCCTCCAGCAATGCACATTTTGCTATCGAGTCAGTGCCAGGAGGAAGCCTCACCTACGTTAAATGTGTAGTAAGCAACCAGCTTTTTATTTCAAACCTAAGAACAAGAAAGTGCAAGTCTTGGAATACCACAAGCTATATATAAATATTAATGTGAATTTAGCAGCCCACAGTTGGAACTAAAGTGATTATAAGCAGCAAAGGTGTTTCCTCTAACTTCCAACAGAGTGAGAATTTCTAAAGTGGGTAAAGAAAACACACAAGTTAAAACGTTAGTGAAATTAACATCTTATACTAATGAAGCTATATTTCAGGCATCTCTTCTATATTGCGTAGGTTTTTCTTGTAATCGAATTTCAGAATGTCCAAATTATGGAAATCCTCCAAATTCTAAGTAAATTTCAAATTGAAATAAACACTAGCAAAAGCAACACAAAAAATGCCTGCTGCACTGTTCTTGGATGTGGCTCAGTATATTCGTGGAGCACAAACTACCATGGCACCCCGATTAGTTGCTAAACACCTAAACATTTCCATATTCTTGCTTTACTTGTAAATTCTTGTAAATACAGAACAGTCAAAAAACATTTGATATGTTTGTGTACATTATAAGCCTCAATTGACTACATGTCAAATAGCAGTAACACCCAGAGGGTATTCGGTTTGCATTTTATACGGAAAGCACACTTCAGCTCTCAATGTCATCTAAAGTCCTGCACCCATCGCTGCTCAAACGTCACAATTTTGCTGTCATTGACAAACAGCATGCATCTGAGACCAAAATAAATGCAACAAGTACTGACATTGGGATTAACAGAAATTACACAACCAGAGATCATATTGTGTATGCATTATGCATGTGTTTTTCAAAAACAATTTCAGACACTGAATTAGTTCAGTCGCTATTCGAATCCATCCAAGCCTACGGTACAGCACTCCTCATGTGCCATTTTTAAAAAGAATATTTCCCAATTAATCCAACCTCTCTTTCTCAGACAAAATAAAACACAACACCTTGTACATCTTGCATTTTTTTAAGTTTAAGTTTTGAATGCAGCTGTTTTCCTGTGCTATTCCAATTGCTTTATGGCTAATTGATTTAAACCAGCCAGCCATATTGTAACTCAAAACAGAATATATTACCTGCAACATTTCACAACAGCATTCAATAACATACCAGTCTTCCTGAAAGGAGATATTAGTAGACAAACCCCTTCTAATTAGAAAATTTAAAGAGATGAAAGCAGTTTTAAACCAAAGACAAACGAAGAGATAGAGAAGTAAAGCTTTGAACAGAGACAAGCTGACAGAAATAGAAAGCTCCGCATTATGGAACAAACAAATTAACCTCACTTGCTGGGATAGTCACTTGATCCTGTGGCTGAAAGGGCGCTAACATCATGGATGAAACACCTCAACAGGTTGGCTGGCGGTCACCCTGGAAACACAGCTTTCCAGCAGCCTGCAACAGCTGTGGTTTGGGTTGTGCGGCCCCAGTCCAGCTCCAAGGCTCATTGTTTTGCACATCAATTATTAAGAGTCGCTCGCTCGCTTGGCAGCAGTGAGGAGACACCAAAGCATTCAACCCCATGCTTTCAGTAGCCATTTCTCATATTAAGATTAACTTTGATCCAACAAAGTAGATCACTTCGTTACTTGTTTGATGTGGCTCTTCACTTAATGCATTCCTTTTCCAACTGCCCAGTAATTGAGACAAGGTACATTATTGTACACAACCAGTTAAGTGCATCATAAAAATATAAATCATATAGATGGATTTCAATACATAGCTTCCCACCCCCACCCCCAAAGACTAGACAATTACTGTGTTTTGCAAGATTACCAAGCACTAGAGCGATATACAAAGTAGTTAGTAACCATTTACCAAATGCAGACCTAACATATTACAATGATATTTTCAGCCTACAAAAAATTAAACTGAATAGACATCCTCCGCAAGTGAGGGACCAAATGAGGAATATTAACCTATCTGTCTCTGTATATTATCAGTCTCGTGTAATCCAATTGAGTTTTTTTAAAAAAGAGCAGTTTAACGGATTCATCACATCCGAACCTCAACACCTGCAATACTTGGATTATTACCTAAAGTGTAATATTTATCTTCTGAGGTCTCACAAGATGAACAGATGAACAAAATCGGCTATAGTATTTCCCCCCACACAATTACACATTAGGTGTCAGCCTGGCTCAGTTGATAGTTCTCTCGCCTTTGGGTCAGTAGATTGTAGGTTTTGAGCTCCTAATCTAGCTGATACTAAATTCAGGACTTGGTTACCAAATGGTTACCAACTACTAACTAATTCAAAACTTCTCTTAACATATATACTGTAGTTCACAA